CCCGAGCAGCTTCCAGGACCTTGTGACTGACCCAGCTGTGCTGCTACAGAACAATTGTGGAGTCCAGATAAAGTTCTGGGAAAATGGCAGGTTGGAAGAGGAAACTAATAAAATGTAGAATCATGGGTTCTGAGTATGGAGAGGAATACTGTGAATGAGGATGGGCTGGCAACTGGCTCTAGCTTATCTAGCAGACCACCTGGCTGCACTACAAGCCCTCTGGCTGGTTAAATCCGTCCAGGAGGGCCAAGAGGGTCTTTAGGTGTCTCATTCATACCTTTCAATAAAGCAAGTATCTTTTAGTGCAGGGGCAAAAAAAAGCAAAAAGTTAGGAGTCTCCAAGACTTTATAATCCACAGGAAGATTTTTTTAAGTCTGGATGGGAGCTAGTAAAGCTGTTAACCAAGCTGGAAATGGGCAGGGGCGGGGGTGAGTTCTTAGTCACTGAACTTGATAGTAGATTCTCAGGCTCAAACTTTTTTGGGTGTCACTTATGTCCCAAATTCATACCAGAAGCACAATACTGTGGTTTTTGAGTTTGCACAGGCCAACCTGTGTCACTGAACCCCTTTCACATTAATAGATCTTTTGGGAAAAGACCAAACCTTTTTTAAGGACACTTGCAATGACATTGCCAGGTGCTTCTAATGGACCTTGCAGGCATCAAGATATGGGGTCAAAATTGTATCATCAGAGCATTATCCTGACAAAAAAATGACTTTACAAGGTATTTGGAAAGCTTATGTTGCTTGAGAGAGAAAAAATAGTTTACAATAGTAACTCTGGGTTACCTAGGAAAAGCTAAGGGGCGCCTGGGTGGCTGTCAGTCAAACCTAGGAAAGCTAAGAAAAACAAGAGGGAGAGACAATATTCTTAGCCAGGTGTTTTTCAGTAAGATGTGTTCTGTTAGGTCTATGAACCCAACCTATTATGCAGTGTACAGAATTAAGAGAAAAATTGTAAGGGTATTTTTCCTTTCTTTAAAATTTAAGAAAGAGGTACTGACATCCTAAAGTCTGTCATCCTGTTTCAGAAACAGTCATTAGTTTTTTGGGATTCAGGATGTAAGCTCAAAGATGAAATGGTATCTTTAGGTTAGCCACAGGGCTAACATATTGGTCAATGCATTATAAAATAATTTCATTACAGAAAGTTATCTATTGGACAGTACAATAGTTTTAAGAATGGTGGATGGATAAAGTTGGGCTTACTTTGACACATTTTCTTGTAATAATCTCAGAAAACAAAAGAATCTCTCCACCCCCCGTCCCCGACCTTAGGTTTTCTCAACTTTTAGCCCTCCCTACCCAGACACTTCCTCCCTTTCAGTGCTTTCTATCTATACAAACTCTCACCCTTTTGCCACTTTTAAAAAAATAAAGTATTGCCACCATAGTTTCTTAAACCACTTAAGTCCCAACTACAGAGATTTAAATTGGCCTGGAATGCACACCTGGGCATTAGGACTTTAAAAAAGCTACCTTGCTAATTTGAATGCACAACCAAGGTTGAGATCCACCAACTATAATTATCTCAGTCAAAACTGTGAAAGGTCTGTAGGAGATATTTTGCATAAGCAAATCTTGGGCTTATATTCCTGTTTTTAACTGTTTTGTCTTTTTGCATCCACCCCATTACACTATCTCTTCTTTCTATTGTAGTTGACATAAGTGGTAGGGAGGGGCCCATGCTAGCTCCCAACAGGGCTTTAACTCCCAAGTCTATATAGGTTCTGCTTTTCAAAACTGGTACTTTCAAAAAGTTTTTGGATTAACTTGAAAGTTATTTATGCAACCAGATAGGTTTTGAGGCATTCTTTATTAGGACTAATTTGATTAACTAAAGTTCAAACATGGACTTTTCCATTTCTCCTAACTCTCCTCTCTAAACTTTTAGAATTCTGTTATCCCGGTCATGTATACATCTAAAATCTAGCTTTTTCTGTACAGTTTAGTTGGCCAGATTTTCACTTTATCCTAAGGTCTTTCCGAACCATATAATTCTCCAAAAATAATGCCCCCATAGTTCTCAAATACAGTATAAATGATACCTATTCTCTATGAGACACAACATTGACAAGGCAGGTGAGGTTGTCTATAGGTACTTACCCAGCCCATACTCTGCACATTGTATGTAGCTTATTTCCTGGTCTCTCACTTCTACTTCATATCTGTGTTCACTATTAACTGGCCACAACTCATCACAGTACCTTTCCCCCTTAATCTATTGAAAACTCAACTGAATTGCATTTTCTTGATCAATGTAATCTGAACTAGGGTCCAGAAACTCAAACCCCATTTGACAATGGTGCAACTGAATCCTTCCTTCTCCCAGGCCACAATGATGAGGCTTTCTGGTTCTCTTAAAACTAATATTCATTAGTTCATCAGTGGTCATTCAGTGCTGTCACAGGTCAGCCACATGTGATCGGAACTAAGTAGTTTTCAACTGATCTCATTAAATACAAAGCTATTTCCTATTTCAACTGCTTCTACAATATTCCATCTAAGTTACCTAAAACCATCAGTTATTTGTGAAGTATAGTCTCTCTTCAGTTCCATTTCTTTACTTAGCGTATCATACCCATGGGCCTTGCTTCCCGTGGCTGCTTATTCTTTTGAATAAATATACTGCTGCTGAGTCATCCAGTAGACTCCTTTATTGCTATCTTCTTGTTACCATATGGCTGGAATGATGCCCATTTTTCTATCCCTTCTTTCCATTACATTCTTAAAACTCATTTGTTTATTCTTTGGTTTCCAATTTACCATAATCCTGTGGTGGTTCTTTGCATTTTCCTATTGTTATGCCAAGTTCCCTCCGAAAAACAGAGCCTTTAAAACAAATGCTGAATAGTAATGATAATTCTTGCAGTTTTCAGATGACACTTGAAACTACCTTAGTCAACTCCAAAGAAGTTTCCCCATTAAAAATTGGGCATCGGGTTTCAAAGCCTACGTGGCTCACAGTCAGATAAGCGTCCAACTCTTGATTTCAGTCATGAGATAGAGCCCCACAGTGTGTGGAGCCTGCTTGGGATCCTCTCTCACCCTCATCTTTCCCCTGCGTGTTCTAAAAAAAAAATTAAAACTCTTAGCTTCCAAGCTATTTTTTATTTTTTACCCTTAATTTCTTGGTATATGGGGTGAGGGGTGGGGGAAGGGGAAGACATTATTCTGAATCTTATACCCAACAAATGCATCACCATATTTTACGGTTTTAAATCTTATTTCCACTGAATAGCTTAAGGCTCTGGTCTTTGAGATTGTCACTACCCAGAATTCCCTCTAAACAATTATCTGAGTCTGAAACTCAAGCTTTTCATCCTTACCGGCACTGCTTACCTTGCTTGCTCTGCCTCTATTTCTATTGAAACTACTCCAATCTTTTCCCCTGGAACCCAAGGTAAAGTAACAGTAACTATAACCCTTCATTAGAATCTGGAACGACAGTGGCCTCTTTTAAAAAAAGTTTGTAATATCTCTACTTAATCAGACTACTAAATGTAGAACTATTTCAATCCTGTTTCCTTTACTTTCCTATAGTTTTGGCCTGAGTCTGAATTTAAAAGTATTAAAAGAACAGAACTATGATTATAGAATTCTACAGTAATGTTCTTAGTTCCAAGAAGATAGGAGTATGAAATAATTCTTCCCTGTCAAGATAAACTAGAGATCTCTTGGCATTTTATCAGTAACTCTGTGTGTGTGTGTTTTCAAAACGCATATGACCATTTCTCTAAGCTTCCAACAGTTTCTTTCAGTATTTGATTTCACACGAAATTATAAAAGACACTTTTAGGCATGGCCTAACTGGTCTATTACCTTTTAAGTACTGATGGCTAACATTATAACCTTAAACAGGTTTTATTAACATCTTAGAATCCTGACCATTTCTTCTAAGCATCCAATTTATTGTTGGGAGTTACATGCAGAAAGTGATTTTCTTAACATGAAATCACATAGGTTCAGAAAATAGGGTGGGTAGAAGTATTTTTAACCAAATTAACACACAAAAGCTACTTTTGTACTGTGGATATTGGGTCGAAAGGTAGTCCATAGTTCAGCCTTCTTTTCTGCTTTATCACTTGTTACATAAAATGATTTATGGAGTTCTAATAAATAGGACAGGACTTCTGCTCCTAGTAAGTTGGATACAAATGCCTTTGCTGTATGCTATGAAACAGCAACTTTCCTGGGGATTAAAGGTTGTGTGAACTATAGTGGTCTAAACTAACCATGGTTTTGTCCTGCTCTGCTGGAAACTGAAGTATAAAACAAACTGGACCTTTCAGGATTAGGTAAGCATCACAAAACTAGAAGCTGTTTAACAAATGATCCTTAGAAGTTTGTGTGCCTAATAATTAGTATCATGACTAAAAATCACTGCAATTAATCATACTGGCGGGGGGGGGTGGTGCGTGCAAAAATTTATATGGATTAAACCAATTTAAAGTAAATTAAATATTCTCAGTAACCTTGGGTGGTTTTTATAAATACTACAGAAGAGAAGTAAAGAAAAGAGCTTTCCTATTTTAAGTTAACAGGCACAGACTCAATCCAGAAAGCAACTGGGACTATAACAAAATAATAAAATGGAAGAAAAAAGTTTCATTCTCCCAGAAATCTGGACATGTTTGAGTCTCATCTATTTAAGGACAAAATATAGCACACAACAAAAATCTCAAAAAGGGTGCCAAATGGACCACCAAAACATTAATGAAAAAAGCATAATGTAGTTCGCAAACCTTTTCATTGGGAAACAAGAGCCATTCTGCAAAAGAATCTCCACTCCACATCAAAGTAACTTGTCTCCTTAACATAATACCCACACCAGTGATACATCATTTGAGTAGTGTATGTGGTATGCATAATGACTATGTCTCAAAAATATATCTAGTACGTTCTAGGGGTTTTGTGGAGGCCGCTGTGAAACAAAGAATTGGAAGTAAACAGTTATAAACTACAAAAATAAAAAACCAGGTTCTCTTTTTCTCCAAATTCCTGGTTTAATAAGGACTTGTTTATTTTGAGAAAAAAGGGTCCCAAACATCAGGCTGTTCACAAAAATAACCCACAGTATCAACTTTAGAAAACAAATCTTAAAGACTATTACACTACTTATTTTTCTAGAGGATGCATTTGACATGCCAACTCTCATTCACAAAAATACATTGTTACATTTGTGTTGAACAGCCCCACATAAGCACTCTTGTGTGGGGTATAACACACATACCTCTAACTCAAAGCTGCCCTCAGATGCTACTCAACTAAAGCGATTGCCTTTGCAGTTAGGGAAGCAACTATGCAGCTCATGTATGAATGGAAATAACTGCACTCCCTGCATAACAAGAGATTATTTTGGAGACAGTTGATAAAAACCACACATCCTTTTTATTGTTAAGTCATAAAGAGGTATCAAAATTAAAAGCAAAAATTACAGGGTAAGACTTAACTATTAGGAGCGTCAAGGGAAGTGAAAATGGGACTAGGCGCAGGGCAATATGAATTAATGAACATGGGAAGGACAAGGATGGGGAGAACAGTGAGATGTGCTGAAGATACTAGGGAGAGGATCTGGTGAAAATTTTGATCTTAGACAAGCGCCTAGGTAAAGAAATAATGGGACAAGATTTCTAAACCCCACTATGTGCTTAAGAGTCATCCTCGCCATTGGCGCTGTCTCTGTCATCCTCTCCTTCCTCAGCCTCTTTTTCATCATCCTTGATCAACTCCAGCTGTGAGAAACAGACACAAATAGGATGGAGTTAGAGGCACTCCATGTGTCCCTGATCCCCCCTCCACCACCTCTTTCTTTCCTTTCCCGTGGTTTTCACCTGGTCATCCCCCCGATCTTCATTATCATCATCATCCAGTAGGTCCCCCTCCTCAGCAGAGTCATCTGCACCCCCCTCAGACTCCATCTTCACATTAGTCTCATCTTTCTTCAGGGAGCTGCTGCTCTGCTCCTCTTCTGACTTATCATTCTTCATCTCTACTGGGGATGAGAAGGACAAGTCTGTCTAGGGGCAAATAATGTCCACAGGATGTAGACAATCCCCACTAATGATCATAGAACTGCAGCACAAATCTAAATCCTCCCACACAAATGCCCTTCCCAATTCAAACTCCCCAAGTGTCATATTCAATCGCTTTATATCCCACTACTCCAACATATACCTCCAACTATCTTAGGTGACTAACCCAACTTTACACCCAACAAGCAGGAAATCCATTTACCTCCTTGTTTGCTTTGTTCTTTTTCAATTTTTTCCAGGCTTTCCAGTAGAGAATCCACTTTTTGCTTTATCTGGGTCAACTCCTTCTTAATGGTCTGAAGGTCATCGCCTTTCACTTTAATACAAACAAAACTCTAGATTAGAATCAACTGTACCAGACAGAAAGCTACCAGTTGCCAAACGCACCCCAGGTAAAAAAATAAGGCTGTAGCCAGTAGGAGATCACTGGAGAGAAATAGAGCCAGGACCAAGTAATGTGGACCCTCATTTTTTTAGCTAAAAACTAAATCTAATGTGCCTACTCCCTTAGCATCAGTATTCTACTTTAGGCCCACTAAGGACCCTCAATTATATTGAAAGCATCTTTTGTACTGTTTTACTGACTTAACACATTTCATATATTTATGTATGCTTAATTAGCTCCCTCAAGTCTAGTGACTTTTTTCAAATTAGCAAGGCCTTATAATTTATATAATTTACAGAAGGCAGCCTAAATTGGCCCCTTAATCACTACCTCTCCTCTTTCATTATTTTGATAATGTAGAACCATTTGTATGAAAACTAATTAGCTGCACTAATTTCCCTATTTCAACAAAAGAAAATAGCAGAATCCCAAAACTACAATAATACATACACTTTCCAGACTTGGAAGAGGATCCTCGCTGTCCACTCTTAGAATTGAAGCCACTTTTGCCTCTGCGTGAGGTGTTTCCTGATACACGCTGGCGTTTTGACGGAACTACAGCCCGAGCAATAGGAGGAGGAGGAGGAACACGTGCTGGGTAACTATACATCCTATGGGATAAAAGGAAAAAAGAATTCCTTCACAACTAAAATTAAGTCAGCAAGATCCAACAGTGACCTTACAAAAGAATTACCATTGTCTGTTTCTTTGTGTTAATTTCATTCAAAAGGCCAGTTAAAACCTTTCTTTGGTGATCTGAATGCAGCAGCTACTTCAAGATGCTACATATACATAAGCAGATCCGATGATAGCTGATTTACCTTAAGGGATGGACATTAAAGCTTCTTCTGTACTAGGGCAGTATTAATAAAGCATTGCTTTTTATAAAGAATAGTCTATATATTGATCTTGCTCTTTTCATGTTACAATACATAATTAAACAACATCTAGAACTCACAAAACAAACATAAAAACAATTCCAACTAAAGTACTCACAAGAAGAGAGTGCCATTACTGGAGTCTGCCAACAGTGGTTTATTTACTGTTAGCCAGATCCTTAATTTTTATTACCTACACAAGTATACAGATAAATCATTACTTCTAATTAGTGATAATAGACTGAACCACATAAAACTGCCAGATTAACCAGCTCTGGCCTCTAAAAACAAAAGCCATTCGAATGTGTTCACCGTGTATAAAATGCCATGATCAATTCTAACAACATTTAAAAAGAAGATATACTCATAGTTACAAAAGGATGGAGAATATGGTCTGTCTTATTTGCTATTCACTAGTGCCTAAATCCAACGGCCAGCATACATTCAGCTCTCAAATACAAACACTGGTTGCTCAACTGCTTCTTTCATTCGAGAAGTATGACCCTAAAATTAGTAAAGAGAAAATTCAAAGTACAACAAAAAGCTTCTTACGTGGGTATCCAGATGTTTTAGAAAATGTCTACATCCCATGTCATTTTTACAAGAAATTGTAGCAGCATAAGGTGAGACATAGCAGCAGGAATAAAAATCTTCTAATTCTAGTTCTGTACCTTTTTAGTAACTAACTTAATTTCAGGGCCATTTTTGATGAAAACCACCCACCAAGTGTGTTGCTCTGCCTAACTTCAAAAGTTTAAGGAGCAAATATGATGTATTAAAATCACATAATTCATATATGTGATAAGACTCTAATACAGTTCATTAGTGGCTAGTCTCTGAATTTCTAAGTTTCCAATCCTCCTGGTAGTGAAAACAATGATTTTATACCATCTCGCAGAGAATTCTCCTCTCCTCAACCCAATTTAATCTAAAATGTTTCTATTATATTTTAACACAGCAGTATTTTAGTTTTGCCCAGGAGTAGCTATGACAGGAACATTTTCCTAAATTAAGAAAGAGCACATGTACATTGTCAAACAAGAGCAGGCACAACTAAATTTTCACTTACGCAGTTTTTAGTCAAGACCATCCTTGGGACAAAGTAGTTACTGATTTGCCATGTGAAATGAAGAATGATGTGCTAAAGGTTACTGCAGTGCTCGTAATTCTTGTTTTAAGCTCTATTAAGAACACTCTTTTAAGGGCGCCTAGGTGGCTCAGTCGGTTGGCTTCGGCTCATCATGGCCTCATGGTTAGTAGGTCCAAGCAGCTCAGAGCCTGGAGCCTGCTTCACATTCTGTGTTTCCCTCTCTCTCTCTAGCCCTCCCCTGCTCATGCTCTGTCTCTCAAAAAGAGAAAGAAAAAAAAAATTAAAAAAAGAACACTTTTTTATTTGAGAGAGAGAGAACCTGAGAGAAGGGCAGGAGGAGAGAGAGAATCTTAAGGAGGCCCAACACATACTGGAGATTCTGACATAGGGCTCGATCTCAAAACCCTGGGATCATGTCCTGAACTGAAACTAAAAGTGGGATGGCTCAATTGACTGAGCCATTCAGGCGCCCCTCAAAGACTTTTATAGTTGAATTCCAGGAAATAAGAAACTATACGATATAGAAGGTAGGGAGGTATTAGTGCTTCTACAGAGGTTTTTCTTCAGTAGACAAATTTAAATGTTAATGTGCAAGATGACACTTTAAAAAGCAGTTTCAGAAAACGATGGGGGAGTTCATCCATTTTTGGGCATGAAATACCTACTGGCCCAATCCTGCTGGATTTAGAGATCCTAACCAACCCACTCACTGTTACAAGTCTCCAAACCAATGACCATACCATTTACCTTCTTTATACTTTACCACACTGGAAACCTAACAATTTCACCAACGTAGGTAAATCGTCATAATGAAAATAAGGCAAGAAATACAGTTCTGAAGTCAAACACTCCAGTTTACAGAAGATAAACTACTAGTGTTGAAGGGCTTTTAGTGCCATGGAACTTAACTGCTGCTCAAACAAAAATGAACTCTTGAAAAACTCAAAAGATTCCTCTAAAGAGGAAGTTGAAGTAGATCTTCCTTGTAAAATCTCAAAGTGCATGACTGAAAACAGGAGGAGAAAACCGTACCTACTATGATAACCCTTCAAGGTCAAAGGGATAGGAAATAGAAAGCTGTGTATGACAGCTTCAAAAACTAGCTACAACCATTCCCGCCCCCCCCCCAAGAAAACCTTTATTGATAAAGCCCAAAGTCATTAAAGTCTTCATGAAAGTTTCACTGTTACTAACGGAAAAAGCACTAAAAACACTAAGACAGTTATGACTGGCCCCTAAAGCAGCAATCTGGACATTAAGTGTTGGTATAAAATCTAGCCAGAATAAACAGGTAATTAAAATACCATTAAAAAAATTAAAACACTTCTGATTACATATAAGCTAGCTAATTATCTGCACAGTAAGAAAAAGGTTTGAACTCTGTCCAAATCTCTAAACAAAACACAACACATCACTTATTAAAAAATAAGTTTAGAGATGTCTGTCTGGGTGGCTCAGTCAGTTAAGTGACTCCTGATTTCGACTCAGGTCATAATCACAGTTCGTGAGTTCAAGCCCTGCTTTGGGTTCCGTGCTGGGACTCTCTCCCTCCCTCCTCTCTCAAAAATAAACTTTAAAAGTTTACAGAGGTGCCTGGGTGGCCAGTCAGTTAAGTGTCAGACTTTGGTTTCAGCTCAGGTCATGGACTCCCAGTTAGTTGAGATCAGGCCCCGTGTCCAGCCAGTTCTGTCCTGGCACCATGAAGCCTGCTTGGGATTCTCTCTGCCCCTCTCCTACTAGAGCTTGCTCTCTCATAATAAACAAACTTGAAGTAAATGTTAGTGTGTTAGTTTCTACTTAGAGTCATGGTGGGTACAGAGTTTGAGGTGAGTATCTTGTCATCAACTAGTAATTACTGGAACTAGGAAGGAAAAATCTCTTTTTGGCTTTTAAACTCTACACATAATATTTACTGTTGTGTCACATTATTTTCTATGATTGCCTCTAGATCTATCCCACAGACTACAGTTACTTCTATTTATTAATTGGGGTTTTGTTCATGTCACTTTCTTAAAATCATTCCTTTTGCACATCATGGATTTGTACATATTTCTCCCTATATTTCTCTAAATTAAAGCATGTTTTAAGGTGCCTGGCTAGCTCATTCAGTGGAACATGATTCTTGGGGTCATGACTTGGAGCTCCATATATGGTGTAGATTACTTAAAAAAAAAAGTTTCAATAGAGAACATTTCTCATAAATGAGCGGTCATGTTAGATTTGGTCCTGATTAGCTTAAATAGAATCTTAACAAGATTACTCTTGTTCCTGCCTTAGTGATTTTTAACCTTAATGTGAATAGGTACATTCATAGAATTTTAGCGATTTCAGAGATGCTTGCACATTCCAAAGCCCAAACCACATATGGTAGCCTATAAAATCAGAGGTAAGCAGGGAGAAACATCATCCTGAAATCCCACTAATATATAGTAATGAAGCAGAAGAAAATACCTCCTAACACTTGAAAGAAGTTTAACATTTTTTAAAATGTTTTATTTATTTCTGAGAGAGAGAACGTGAGCAGCGGAGGGTCAGAGAGGGAGACACAGAATCTGAAACAGGCTCCAGGCTCTGAGCTGTCAGCACAGAGCCCGACACGGGGCTGGAACCCACGAAGCACAAGATCATGACCTGAGCTGAAGCCGGACACTTAACTGACTGAGCCACCCAGGCTCCCTAATTTTTTTTAAACCTTTTTGGAGGCCTAAAATATCTGGCAGTTTTTTTTCCCCTGTTTTCCTAATTGATAGTTAATATACCTAAAAATCATTTTTCATCTACGTTTTTAAGACCTGAAGGCAGGTATGGTACATTAAATAAATATATGCAGGAGAATACAGATACTTACTAATACATTAATTCAAGTTGTTTCTACTTTGTAGTGATTGAAATGTAATCGTATTAATCATGGTTTTTGAGACACAAAGATCACTTTTACATCTAGGCATTTAATAAACTTGCCTCTCCTTTTATTTATATATTTTAAGACTTTATCTTTAAATAATCTCTACAACCAACAGTGACTTTAACTTAACCTCAAGGTCAAGAGTCACATGCTAGACTAAGCCAGCCAGGCACCTCTGTAAACTACCTTACAATCCAGCAGTTGTACTAATAGGTATTTATCCAAAGGATACAAAAATACAAATTTGAAGGGATACATACACACCGATGTATATAACCACATTATCAACAACAGGCAAACAAGAGAAAGAGCCCAAGGGTCCAGTGACTGATGAATGGATAAAAATGTGGTATACACACAAACACACACTGGAATATTATTCAGCCATGGAAAAGAATGAAATCTTGGGGCACCTTGGTGTGGGCACTCCGTTAAGTAACTTTTCATTTTGGCCCAGGTCATGATCTCACGAACCATGAAACTAAGACCCATGTTGGGCTCCACAATGACAGCCAGGAGCCTGCTTGGGATTCTTTCTCCTCCTCCTCTACCCCTTGTCCACACGTGTGCTCTCTCAAAACAAACAAATGAAATCTTGCCATTTGCAATGACTTATGTATGGATAGAGTCCCTCAGAGAAAGACAAAAGCCATATGGTTTCACTTGTGTGGAATTTAGGAAACAAAAAACGAACACATGAAAAAGAAAAAAAAAAAAAAAGAGGGAAGCAAACCATGA